AAACAAGAACAAGAACAACAACAATAAGAACAACAGCAACAAATAACAACAACAACAACAACAAAAAACCAAAGAAAAAGCTATGAAAAATGTAAAAATAATTTTAATTTTTATAACTTTGACATAGTATATAAGCATGTAAGTGGAAAGTCCAAGAGTTGGGGCCGGGGATATAGCTCGGTGGTCTAAGCACCTGCCTGGCAAGCACAAGGACTTGCGTTTGATCCCTGGTACCTCATGTCATGCTGGCCCCAGAATGCTGTGCCAGCCACTGAGATTGGGTGTGGTGGCACACACCTATAATCCCAATGTTGGGGAGGCTGAGACAGGAGGATTGCTATGAGTCTGAGCTATGTAGGAGGATTGCTATGAGTCTGAGCTATGTAGCAAGGTCCTGTACCAAGTACGTACATAAAGATTTTTAATGATTAAAATAAAATTTTATAAAAGGAGTGAAAACTTATTTATATGACCAGAGATGTGGTTATCTTTCAGATAGCTTTGATGATGCAGTTGCTAGTTCTGCCTTCAGAAGAAGGCAGCCGTGCTTCTAAGAGATGCCTTATAGGAGGTTCTCAAGGATGTCTTTGTTTTTTGAAGACCATGTTAAAATTTATCTTGTTTAATGTTTCTTAAAATAGATCTGGAGAAATTTTGAAAAAAAAATAGATCTGGAGAACAGTGGAGTGTCTTGAAGAATATGCAGATTAGCAGTATAGGATTGGATCTTTAAGAGTTCTTGTCATTGGCATTTGGAGTATGCAGTGCCCTGGCCCCTGCCATTTCCCATTTTCCACAGCCACAAAGCCTTTACTGGCTGCCTTGTTCTCCTCTTGCTAAGGAAAAGATCATCCAGAATGTGTAGCAAAGCAGTGCAGAGATAGAACAGAGACTTTGGTGGGGCTGGGAGGGCTGTGATCTCAGGAGGCCTGAGAAAACCACTGGTGGTCATTGTCCCAGCATACCCTTCAGAGAGGGAAGAGGTGGCATTATTAAGTTTTACCTCTACATTACTTTAAGGAAAGTTTTTTTTTTCTTAAATCTCAGAATCCCAAATTTAATATAAAAGCTAAATTTGCTTTTGATAGCTCTGTAATAGTCAATGGAGAAAGCATACAATGTTTTGATGCTTTCAGGTCGCGGACATTTGCGAAGAACTATGCCTTTGATAATGAAAGCTACTCATTGGTTAGCTTCCTATTTAATATACTTTTGAAACAAAAGTCTAATTCCTACTCAGGAAGTAGGTCAAAAATCTCAAAATGTCAGCTTAGTAACCATTAATTCTTTCTGGCTGGATACTGGCAAATTGATAAAGAAAAATTTCATTCTCTTTTCTTTCTGCCTAATGGAATTTATTTTCTCCTCCTTTTAGTACTTCTATATATTGTATATTAGTCACTCATCTCACTGCAACATTTTTACCAATGAGAGACCTTATATATGCTGGTGGTCCCATAAAATTATAATGGAGCTGAAAACTACTCATTGACTAGTAACATCACAGCTCTTAGAATGTAACTCAATACATTATCACATGTTTGTGTGATGTTGTTGTAAATAAACCTACTATGCTGCCAGTCATATAAAAATGTGTCATACACAATTATCTACAGTACATGATAATTGATAATGACAAGCAACCATGATAATGGCTTATTATTTTTTGCTGTCTTAGATTATACTCCTTCTACTGATTAAAAAAGTTTATTCTAAAACAGCCTGCTATGGCAGCAGCTTTATATGTCTTGTGCTTACCATATCTCTTGGTTGCATTGTTTCTTTTGTTCTTGATTTAATCTTGTGGTCTGTTTTCCTAGCCCTGGAGCAGTAGGGCGTATGGTAGGGTAGCTGTGGGGTAGGCCACACCATCTGGGTCTGTTGAAGTATGCTCTGTAATGTTCACACAATGAAGTCACCCAACGACACGTTTCTTAGAACATGCATGCGTTGTTAAGCATGCATGACTGTATTGAAATTTAAGCCACTATGGGGCTTGGTATCAAAGGCCATACACTTAAGGAATTTATTTTGTCAAAACTGGTAGGAAAAGAGACTAGTTCTTGTAGGGGAAGAGATATTTTTAAGTATTACAGTGGCAGAATTTATTAGATTTGTCCACATTCATTTGGAATAGTAAGAACCTCTGGATTTTACTTTTATTTAATCAGAACATGACATTTAATGATATGATATAAAACATGAATATAAAGCATGCATATACAAGAAGACTGTGTCCACAGTCATTTTACTTCTTTTATAGATTTTGAATTAACTACTGAAAGGAGCAGTGAATGCTTAAATTTTTTATTCTCCTCTTTAGTTTCTTACAACTTTTTTTAAAAACTAATTTTGCATGCTTATACCTGGTAATTAAACAACTAATTTGAAGACAACTCTATACAATACAATAACCATTGTTGAATTCCTATTATTTTGCTTAGTGAAATTCTGTATTGTTTCTAATTTTTTTTTTTTTTTACTATTTTGTATTTTCTTAAAAAAAGATTTTTGAATTACAACAGTCGAGTGGAAGGGCTTTTGTTGCAATTTTTATTTTATGCTCCAAAGCTATCTTTTCCTGTAGTCATATCGTGTGTGGAGACAAATTTCATTTCTGTATAAATTCGACGGCCTTAAGGACAGCTGTGGTCAGGGACTTCATCTTTTTCTTCTCTCTTCCCCTTTGGCCCTCCTTAGAACACCCACTGAAGAGGCAGCTCTGGTGAAACAGATCAGCCACAGAGCTTGGTCCTTAAAGAAGGAGATCTGTGTTCCACTCCGCCACATATAGGCTCTGGGAACCTTGGCAGATGACTTAATCAACACCTCAATGTATCTGTAAAACTAAGACAATAGGGGCTCGTGGGATGGCTTGGTGGTCTAGAGCACCTACTTAGAACAAGCTAAGCTAAGCAAAGCACAGGGACCGCGGTTCAATCCCCCAGCACCACATGCCGGCCAGCCCCGCCCCCTGGTGGGCTGAGCTGGCCACACACACAAAAATATAAATAAATAAATAAATAACATAAAAATAAAAAAAAACTAAGACAATAATCATGACTGCATAAGATTAAGTGAAATAATATATATGAAGGTGCACTTTGAACAACCACATTCTAATTATTTAAATTGGGGTAAAATAATGACAGAATTTATCACTTCAAACTTTTTATTGTGTGTGGTTCTGGAGATTGAACAGAGGGCTTGAATTGCCATTTGTTCGTTCGTTCATTCATTCATTCATTCATTGCCATTCATTCGTTCGTTTGTTCATTCGTTCATTCATTCATTCATTCATTCGTTCGTTCGTTCGTTCGTTTTAGAAGTTCAGTGGGAATCTTGCTAAGTGGTTCAGGCTGGCCTTGAACTCATGATTCTTTTACTTCAGCCTGCCAGAGTACTGCGGTTATAGGTGTGCCCCACCATGCCAGGATCCATGTCCCCACCATTTTACCTGTGCAGCTCAGTGACACTCTGTACATTCAGTGTTGTGTGGCTGTCAACCGTACTCATTTACAGATCTTTCCCATCATCCCAGGCAGAAACTTTGCTTCTGTCAAATCATAACTTCCCATGTCCTCCTGCTAGTCCTTGTAACCTCTGACCTATTTTTTGTCTCTATAACTTTGACAACTCTTGTTACCTCACATAAGCAGAATAATTTAGCTGTTGTCTTTTTCCTTTTTTTTCTCCTTCGTTTTTCTTTCATTTTTTAGACAGGGCCTCACTCTGTAGTCCAGGTGGACCTTCAAATTGCGGCGATCCTCCTATCTAAGCCTCCTGAGTGCTATGATTGCAGGCTTGCACCTTTATACACAGCCGAGCAGTTGTCATTTTTCTGTCTTATTTTGCTTCACACAATGTTTTTAAGGTTCATCTGGGTTATAGCATGTGTCAGAATATAGTTTCTTTTCAAAGCTGAGTAGTATTTCATGATGCGTTAACACTGCACCTGTTTATTCATCTACTTGGGTTGCTTTCACCTTTTGGATGTTGTGAATAATGTTGCCACGAACACAGATGTACCAGTATCTCCTTGAGTCCTCACTTTTCAGTTCAGGCACATATCCAGAGGTAACAATTGTTGGATTAAATCTTTTTTTTTTTGTATTTTAGGGGAGGGTTTACAGGGTGTTCAGGGTCTCACTACTAGATCGGACTCATAGTGATCTGCCTGTTTACAGCCTTCCAAGAGCTGGGATTACAGGCTTGTGCCACCACGCCCAGTCTCAACTGCTGTCTCAGCATGCCCTGGGGGCGGGGCCTGCACAGCAGGTCTCAGGATCAAACCTCCTGCCTCTGCACCTGCTTATAGGCACCTTAATCCACTGAGCTATTTGGTCGGCCCTGCAATTATTGGATTATATGGTGGTTCCTCACAACTTTTTTGAGTCACACCATATTTTTGTGTATTTTTGGAGCTGTTGCATTGGTGGGTAGTAACATAGCTTGTAAATGCTATGATGGTTTATAGCAGTGATTCATTTCTCTCGCTCCCAGCTTTATTACGATATAATTGATAAATAAAAATTGCTTACATCTGCAGTATCCTATGTGATGTTTCGATATTCTGTGTATATACATATGAAATGAGTACATAAAGCTAATTAACCTGTCACTTTACATACTTCTATTTTTTTGAGAGAGTATTTAAAGTCTACTCTCAGCAGCTTTCAAGTATCTCCTATTACTAGCCATCATCACCAGGCTCTCCCAAATGTACTCTTCTTACCCAACTGAAACTTCATACCCTTGAACAATGTCTTCCATCCCCTACATGATATGAATCAGGACTGTGAGGTGAAGTCATCTTAAATTTAGGGCTCTGGGAATATCTTTGCCAAGAGAGCAAACTCTCCAGCTCAGGGGTCTCAGAAATGCTCAACTATACTTCTAAGATCATTGGTGGTGTTGATTTGCTCAGCTGGTCCCCAAATGTGTTGGTCAAATGATGGCCATATCAATGGATGTGTTTTCTGCTTTGGACTTTTCTGTAGGGATCGAGGTGGAGGAAGGCTGAAGACAGGCTGATGGGCTCTGTTGGTGGGCTTTACTGTCTCACCATGACTGCTGAAAACCCAGCGCCTGGAGACCTGGCTCCTGCCCCCCTCGTCACATGCAAACTCTGCTTGTGTGAACAGTCTCTGGACAAGATGACCACACTTCAGGAGTGCCAGTGCGTCTTTTGCACAGCTGTAAGTTTTACTCAATGCTTTCATTATGAAAAAGGACAAACGGAAAATTGTGAGGGCAAGGGACATTTGTCTATGGCTGACTGAGAAGCCAGGGTTTGCCACAATGTGATCAGAGCAAGCCTACTTTTGGGTCATTTTCAAATAACATCTTATGTAGTAAATCCAATGTTGACAGGTTTTGCAGCAAGTGCCATATGTATATGAAATTTAATTATTGAGAAAATAAGTACCAGTATTGTTTTCTTAAGGTTCCAGCAAAGGAGCAAAATACAGAACATTTACTGTGGTTTAGTTAACTCATCTCTAAGAAGCTCACTATTTTTGAATAATGGAGCAATTTACTTTATCTGTTGGATTTTCTTCCAGATTCCCACTCATCCCCTATGAAGCACACAATATACAATTGCTTTGCTTTGTCATATCTCTTTTTGTTCTATTTATGGTGAATGTTTTTTATTCTACATGACAAAAAGAACTTGAGGTACTAAAAAAAAATCGAAAGTTAAAAAAAAAAGCCTCACAGATCAAGGACCTCCTGGGGTGAACTTCTTTCTTGTAGTTGATGCCTGGTCTCCAGGCCTGTGACCTTTCTTATGAGTTTCCTTGAAGCTTGGTTGTTCTATAAAGATAGAAGACAGACTGATGAATTCCTGTAGGATTCAAAGTTGGCAAAGAATAGTATTGTTTGCCCCTTTAACACATACCCGTTGAGCTGCAGCCATGTCCCAGGAGCTGTTCTAGGAACCAGAATTTATCAGCTAAAGGAACAAAACCCAGAGACTATCTTTGCTCTGCTCTGTAGAGCTGATAGGTTTTTTTTTTTTTTTTTTAATTTAACGTCTTTGGTTGCTCCAGGGTCTCACTGCACAGCTCAGACTTGTGGTGAGCCTCCTGTTTTCAGCCTCCCCAGTGCTGGGATTACAGGCATGTGCCACCATGTCTGGTCTCTGCAGCTGGCTCAGTGCACCCTGGGGGCGGGGCCAATGCAGCTTGTGGTGCCAGGGATTGAACTGCGGTCCCTGTGCTTGCCTAAGCAGGTGTTTAGTCTGCTGAACTATCTCACCAGCCTGAGTTTAGTGTATTAAAGGAAGTTCCACAAAGGACAGAATTGTAGCAAATAGGTAAGTTACGGGGTACTGGGTAATTAGGTTTTTAGGGACAAAGGAGAGCTGGTAAAGGGACTCAGGGGGTCCTAGAGAACTGGTACCCCTATAGGGTGGCCAGAAATGGGACTCACTGAGGCTGTTTCTGTTTCTCTTTCTCATCTTGCCAGCAAGTGCTGCTTTATAGGAGGTGAGGACACCACCTTATCCTTTCTTAATTTTTTTTTTAAATTTTATTTATTTATTTATTTGTGTGTGTGTGTGTGTGTATGTGTGTGTGTGTGTGGCCAGCTCAGCCCACCAGGGGGCGGGGCTGGCTGGCCTGTGGTGCTGGGGAATTGAACCGCGGTCCCCGTGCTTTGCCAAGCTTGCTCTAAGTAGGTGCTTCAGACCGCTGAGCCATCTCACCAGCCCCAAATTTATTTATTTATTTATTTTTTGTGTGTGTGTCCAGCTCAGCCCACCAGGGGGCGG